GGCTAACCCCTTGCAAAATTCTTAAATTTGGGTCAAAAATGTCGCACCCTTCATTTCTTGGAAACGTGTTGAAAACAGTCCTTTTGCGTGTTTAAAACACATTGTCAGTCATTTTCGATTTTGTCAGTAATTTTGATTTTGCAAAAGGAAATAGCAACATTGGAATTCCACATGAGCACAGGGCAGAATGTTTCTTACATTCAGTTCAGTTACTTCAGCTATTATATTCCATTCTGAAAATCACCAGTGAATTGCCTTTAGTTTAAAATGTTTGAAATTCATGAATCAAATTAGATTTGAATGAGCAAAAAATCGAGGGAAAAAGTTGAATTCAGTTAAAATTGTTGAAGTAAATTTGAAAATACAAGATGCAGAAAACAAAATATTTAGAAATAAGATATGAATAGCAGATGTAGATAAAACTTAAAAGAATTGAAAACGGAGAACCAATCAAGAAAATATGAAGTGTTTGAAACCATTTAATAAAATGAAAGTTGAAATCACGTGGAAAATGTTGAGAAAAAAAAAGCACTTTAGAATGCAAAATAAATCCCACAGAGAACAGTCCGTATGAAAAAAAAGACGATGATAAAAATGTTCATGGTGAAAATACTTCTCACTTAAATACTATTCAACGGAGTAATTTTTCACGGACTTACTTTCAAAAAGCAATGTTACGGAGATATGCCGATCGTGTTAAAGCTTCAGTAGGACTATACATTGGAACAGCAAAAAATTGTCACTTCACGTGTTGGGTCTATGTAAACATACAAAAGTTAAATCATTAAATAATCTACAATTTACTGCAGATTCTTCAGGGAAGTGTAGATTTTTTTATTTAGAGGGACATCACAGGAGTAGTTTAGCGAACAGAAAACCATAAGCAAGTCATAACAAAGATTTGCAAATTTGCAGTATTCACAAGTTGGCTAAACTGAAATGAAAGCGAGGTTAAGTTATATTTTGGACACTATAAGAATAAAATTGAAAGCAATTGAATAAAGTTTGTTACAAATCAATTTTATTTCCGATGAAGAATGATTAATAATTTGTGATTCATTATATCCTAATATTGAACCATTTTCAAATCAAATGAAACAGAAGCATGGAACCCCAAATAGTCTGGCACCATCTTTGACAGATAACAATGAATAAAAAAAGCGAATGAAAATGAATTCCCCCGTGCCAGGTCTTTTGGGTGCTTGTATTGCGTCCTCTACAGACAGTGGAAAGACCGATGCAGAAAACAAGAGCCTCGTTTATATAATGAGACTCTTGGATCATCCTGAGTTGCGTTTTGATCTGATGGAAGCAGTCACGGGTGAAGTTGTAGATGCGGTATCCCATCTCTAGAGTGCGGCGAAGTTTGCTATCAGCTTCTGCCGACAGAGGCTCCTTGAACTTGGTCTTGGTGTAACTGACCATGAGAGCTATTAAGAAATAAAGCTATTATTTCCAATGCAAAAGTGTTGATATTTTGGTAACTGTGAGCTATTTGTAATGACATTCTTAATGTTGAAAAGAGGGACTTGAATGGAATAAATACGTTTGTGCTAAGACCACGCTTAATTTGGTGCCATCAATAATTTATTTATATATCATATGAAACTATCATTAATCTCTCACCACCCGGGGACTGTGGTCGACGATAAATCTCAACGATTCCCAGAAAGAACTCAGGCATAAATCGCTCTAAAACCAGGAGATAACCTTCGAATTCTTCATTCAAGCCAACGGCCAAGGAGCTGTCGATGTGCTTGACCGCTTTTGCAAAGGTCCAACTGCTTGGCTGTCTATGAAGTAGACAAGTCAAATAATAATTATTGATTTAAAATCTGATTACCAAACGTTTGTTTTGAAATTTACAACTGACACACAAAACGGTTACTCACGTAAGCATTTTTGACAACCAATAAAATAGTTGCCAAAATATGCCTTTGAATACTTTCCTATTACAATAGGAGACTTTGAGATGCTTAGTGCCAACAAACATACCGATCCTTTTTACCAGTTTTGAGCTCACGCAATACCTTGAAAAAGAACCGGTTTGTCTGCTGCCACCAGCGTCTCAAAGTCTCCCATTCAGTAGTGGATCTAGTGAGATGAGAGGATAAACTGGACGACAGTCTTCATGTATTTTTCGATATGTTTCTCTTTGTTCTTTTACCATTAACTTCGTGAATACTAAATGCCCATCGTTATTGGACTGCTTCTGTTCTGAGCATAGTAACTTTGATTTTGAAAAGAGATGGCACATCACGTGACTTACCATGAGAGGGGCCTTGTCTTTATAGCCGAATCCTGTCTTCTTGGCTTGTTCTTTGACAACTGTTTAAAGCGTCCGACATCCTGTCATAGGTACACGAAGGAAAATAACTTTGGTGACCTGTGGTGATTTCGGGAAAACAGAAATGTTGATGTTAAGCCTAGTTTCCATATCGACGTATAAAGATACGCAGAGAGCATCGTAGGTCAGTCCCTTTAGTGACACGCAATCATTGCGGAAACACTTCATCGGGATAAACGCAAACATTAGAGGCAGACAAGACAGTTAAGCCATGCTCTCTGTAAAGAATGGGTTGGATATAATCCACTTGATGGGTATCATTGGCTGGTCTTTATTTGCCTCAGAAATGTACTAAATGAGCCCAGCTGTTTTCCCTCATACATTTTGTCAGCTTTGGTTTTCAGATGATGACTTCCCTTGGCCGTTCAGAATGGACAAGAACATTAACAACCGCTTTGTTAGTTAAACCATAGGACAACGAAATAAAGAGTATAATTGAATAACGATGGGTATTAAGCATGAATCAGCAAAACAGGTCAAAGCCATTTTCATTCAAAATTGCCAAAACCACCAAACATTTTGCTCCAGGTTCTCAAAAGCGTAACCTACCCTGGTTTGGCAGTGAACTACTGTCGAGGAGGGGCTTACTGGGCGGTGAAAGACGGTATCTTTCTTCACCCCTGCATCCAAAAGGTGTCCCCCAAAACGCAAATACATGTACAGTGCAGATGAACAAGAAAACCAAGACCGGCAGACAGGTTGGTTTCAGGAGGGATGCTCCAACAGTAGATCCCCACAACTGGAGTATACAGATGGTGAAAGCAAAGGAAAGAGGCAATTATCAATTTCATGAAAAATTCCTTGCCAGCTACAAACAGAGACAGAAATCAAGAAATTACTTGTCCAAGTAAAATTTAATGGCCTGTAAGGAACTTACTGTTTGTGATTGGCAAGTAACGGCACCCACTCAGAATTCTCTTGTTATTGGGGATTCAAGCTCAAATTCAAGCTCAGATTTACTTACGATTGGGAAGAACAGAATAATTTTCCCTTTAGGTCCGTAAACCTCCGGTTTGCTTGAAATCGCCACACTGAAGTCTTGTTGCAGTAGGTCAGCACAGGTAGTAAAAGTCGGAAACCAGCGGTTTCAGTCAATAAAACGGCTGACAGAGAGTCAACTTTGGCGTCGCTAGAGGGGGGAGTGGGGTGCCACATTTCCCCAATTAGTCAGTTTTGTCGGCATCATGGTGCTGTTGGGAAGAATGGAAAAGGAAGAGGGAGGGATGGAAGTCTGAAGGTCACAACAGTGTCAGGTCGGGGAATCAGACACGATACCATTACACTCAGGAAATTTTCTGACGGTCAGGAGGCAAATCTCATGATGGAATCCCCATCCTCATTTAAAATGGCATGGTTTCTGGACCATCAGGTTGAACTCATCGCATGACATCGCATTTAGGCAGATCTACACAAGTACGCCCAAGCTCGTGTGGAGTTGGGGATTATAGACCATAACCCACAGTCTTCGTGCCCGATATAATACATGTACACACAGCTCTCGTCAAGTGAAGCTAAGTGCCTTAGACTGCCCTATGAGGATCGGTCCAAGTAAAAGGTGGTATAATGGTTGAAGCAATGTTTTTTTGTTGCTTTTAGAGTTTGTCCCAGTTATTCTTTTTTATACTTCCCTGAAGAGTTTTTACCCGCCCAAAATGTTGATTAACCATGGTATATTGCATCCAACTACCGTCGTAAATTGAAAGGGAGGAGAAAAGGCGACAGAGTTGAGAAAGAGAGTTTTTTTTCCAATTTTTGTCTTGAAAAGAAGAAAACTAAAAAATGACCGCCTTCCAATGCTAATTGCTTATTTCAATGCTGAAATAGCCCCTGATGAAGAGCTTAATTAACCCGTCTGTTTCGTCCTGAAGACGTGCACAAGGACGTAGAGAGGAGTTAAATTGGGAGACTTTGAGACGTTGGTGGCGGCAGATGCTTACCGGTCCTTTTTCACAGTATTGCGCATGCTCAGATCTACGCACGTATGCCCAGAACAACGCGCGCATGCTCAGAACTGGCAAAAAGGACCGGTATATCTGCCTCGCCACAAAGCGTCTGAAAGTCTTCCCTCAGAGCAACACATGGGAAATTTTCTGTTTGTTTGGATGACGAGAGACACAAGAGCAGAACTCAGGAGTTGAACCCGACTATTATTTCGAACTTTTAAATCCATTACGACTCCATATTCGAAGTTAAGGAAGGCTCATGCTTTGCACCATGATTCAATCACTTTTAAAACTGCCTTAACAGTTAATTATCTTAAGAAAGTTGCTGTCATTACTTACATAATAAGAAAAAATAAGAAAGAAGTTTCATTATTAGATTAAAAATGGCAAATTCAGTAATACTTGTCTAAATAGTCCCTTTCTGGTATTTGTGAGATTTGTCCATCACATTGTCAAACCAATGCGCCAGTATTATATTTTAAGAAGCCTTTCGAGAACCGGAACAAAGCACGCGCCTGATTGGACAAACTTTTAGGCATGCGCTGGCTAACTTAATCCTTGCAATAATTTGGGCTGAAAATTTGGCCAGAGTGTTACATTTGTTCGAACCTTGTATAAATGACGTCAATTAGACCTTGGAACACATTCCGAGTTATCCACAAGCATTATGGGGGAGGGTAAAATAAAGTCAGAATTCGATCACCGATCATCTCTTGGTTTCGTAGCCTATTCTGAAATGATGAAAAATCTTGGGCCTAAACCGTTTCAAATAACGGTTTATACACACCTAAGAAAGATAACGCATAGATTTCAGATATGCACATTCGTGTAAAACTTGTTATAATATATTTGTCACTTTTCCTTCTAACTCGGTGTAACCAGCTTGGCAGCTTCAATATTTGAATATTCGCTGGTCCGCATAGCCGACTGAGTGAACTTTGCCACAATGCGTACGATGCTGGGCCAACTCTCGACCGGAAAAGCACCGTTAGAAAACTCGGCTAAAGGGCTCCCTCAACAGGCTGCACGAGACGGGCACAGATGACGAGCCTGACTCGAGTTGTGCGACCCTCCAAGTTTGTTTCAATTCGTCTTGTGGTCCTTGCTGTGTGTTAGTCTACCCCGAGTTGTGTTTTGATCTGATGGAAGCGGTCACGGGTGTAGTTGTAGATGCGGTATTCCATCTCTAGAGTCCGACGAAGTTTGCTCTCAGCTTCTGCCGACAGAGGCTCCTTGAACTTGGTCTTGGTGTAATTGACCAGGCGAACTATTGAAAAATCAAAATGAAATGTAAAAATGTTTGTCTCGTATGGACGACCGGAGTGATGTTTTTTTGTGTGTGCTTATATTTATAATGGTGAGAACTGATATTCGGATGGAATCATGCAATTGACTGTAAATTACCTTTACATTACTTTTTTATTTTTAAAACAAAATGCAAAGTGACAGAACAATGTGCTTGAAAAATATAGCCCAAACGACCGATTTACAAAGACGTAAAAAAGTTTACTTTTTTTCGTTTCCGTTTAAAGTATACTCAGCATTAGAAACTCTCAGTAATCACTCACCTGCACTGGACCGTGGTCGATGATAAGCCTCAACGATTCCCAGAAAGAACTCGGGAATAAGTTGCTCTAAAACCAGGAGATAATCTTCGAATTCTTCAGTCAAGCCAACGGCCAAGGAGCTGTCGATGTGCTTGACCGCTTGTGCGTAGGTCCAATTGCTTGGCTGTCTGTATAATTCATTTCACTTATTTATTACCGGCCGGTTGTTTGGAAATTTATCATTGCCACATTAGAGACAAACATTTGACGACTGACAGCTTAAACATTTACCATAATATGGTCCAGAATATTATCAAAATATTCAGTTCTGGAATTGAGCGGTAGGAGGCACAGCCTACATATTTGTCAGTCGGTCGGTTGGTTTACATGGACACACCTTCCATCACCTCCCTCACCCTCATTCTTTTCGTGCTCTCAACTGACACTTAACCATAAAGAGGAAACTTTCACTGAGATAAGAAACATATTCCCCACTTGTATGTCCGTGTTTTATCTCCATTTTTCTGCCCCCCTTTGAAAATGTTAGATCCGCCAGCGCTATGACTCTGTTGAAGCTTTTGTCCAATTCCACCTAAGAAGCTTCTTGTTCTCTTGGGCTTCACCCCTTTGTCATAAGCCAGTGTCTTACTTGCATCGAGGGTCCTCGCCACAAAAACACGTCAGAATGGAGAACAGTCGATGATACTCCGTGCAAAACGGGATGTCTCGAAGAACACACTCACTCAAAGTCTGCAAATCCTCAAAATATATAAATGTATTTGATAAATTGGAAAATTCTCCGGCAGAGGTGATGATTCCAGCTTTGAAATATCGAAGATAACTGTGCAATCATTCAGCAGCTCCGAGACGAACACAAAATCATCTCAGACCTGTCAGTGTTAATTTTTACAATCTTTAAAAATTTCAAGATCGAGAATATTAAATGAATCAACTCTTATTACTGTAAAGAAATCGAACTCGGTTCGAATCAAAGAAGTTGCAACTTTGAGAAATAAGCCCACACACAGCCTCGTACGATTCACGGACTTTTTGTTACAAGACAGCAGTTTTTTTCCGTTTTTTTTACCGGGATTGTGCTGTTCCCTGTGTTTTTCTTCATCTCCTTGCGCTTTTGTAAAGTGTAGCTGGCTGTGTGGTTTCCAACATCCCCGTGCAGACTAAAGTAGAAGTTGGATGTGAATCTAGCAATGGGATCACGGACCATGCTGATGTAACTTGGTGATTCTTGCCTGGAGGAAAAGGAATGATGGGTAAAATGAGGTCTCCGTTCACATTCTGGTCCAGATTACAAAATCAAAACTTAGAATCCCCTTTCCACTTACTTCCTGAGCGCGCGAAGCCACTAACTCTGGCATGTTGAATAGTTGAACAAAACATAATTCTACGGTTTCGAGTGTGTGTCCCTCCCCCTGAAAATGGCATTTTACAAATCAACTTTCATCAGAAGAGTTTCTATCATGTATTACACAAGGCATTTTCCTTGGGGATAGATGAACATGCTTGACAGAGAGAATCTTACCACTGGAACTCCATATATCTCATGCGTGCTGCAAACACGTGTCGACCTTGACGATGATTCATGAAATCTCGACGAATAGGTATTTCCTATACAGGAACAAAGAGACAGTTCCATGTTTGTGGCAATTTTTTGTTAGTTCTAATCTTTGCCTCGCGGTGACAAACTTTGTGGCTAATTTTTTGTAAAGTCTAACATTATCGAGCAGGATGTATCGGTGTTTAGACAATTCACACAGGCTTTTAATAAATACCTTAAAATGATTTATTCAACTAAAACAGACTGGAAGAAGCCGACTGGAAATTAGCAACTACAGTCGAATTCATTGTCCAATTTTGAGTAAGATGCCACATATATGTAACTAAGTCATCGAGTTGAAAAGAGATGGAATATCACGTGACTTACCACTTTTGAGTGGTATCCTACCATGTGACTTACCACGTCAGACAGGAAGTTTTTATAGCCGAACCCTTTCTTCTTGGCTTGTTCTTGGACAAGACTTCCGAGGGTCCGACTTCCTGTCTTAGGTATACGGAGAAAAATGATCTTGGTAGCCTGGAATAATTCAGAACGTACAAATGTGATAATTAACAATTATTGATGAGTTATCCCTTTACAACATTCTAAATTACTTGAACTAAGACGCATACATACTCAAACTAACAATTAGATGATTATCAAAGTGAAAGTGAGTTGACAGAATGAAATGAAACGCCTATTTGAATAGTTGACAGGCGCTAATCCACTTGATTGATAATCCACTTGATCGACATGATTCTCTGATTGCGTCAGAGATATTCTGAGATAACTATTTTCCTAGTTCACAATGTACTTACATTTGTCAGCTTTGGTTTGCTGAGAGTTTCCCTGTTTCTGGAATCAACAAACGACCCTGTTGAGGGAGAATTATAAACCAGACATGGTTAAATGGTTAAGACAAATTATAAGGCAGGCTACAACAAACTTATACCCGGTATAAGATTTCAGCAAAAAGCAGGAAAACATCAACAACCGACTATTAAGTGAAGTTTGGAAAACAAAATAATGTAACAGAAGATTAGCAGTAGGTATGCATCAGCTAAAGATGCGTCTGAATTATGTTGATGTAGAATTGCATCATTGGAAACGTTGCTGAGGTTTTCTGAGGAGAGTAGCCTACCTTGATGTGGCTGTTTACTGTCGAGGAGGGGTTGGCTGGGCAGTGAATTCGGAGAAATCCCTCCCCGAAGGACAGTATCTTTCTCCACATCATCCTGAACCCAGATTTGCTGTTTGGTGGACCAAAAAACTCTTCCCGGTAACGCAAAGACGATGCAGATGAACAAGAAAACAAAGAACAGTACGTGGGTCAATTTCGGCAGAGATGCTCCTGAAACCGACTCGGTAGACTTTGAGAAGTGGTGTACATAGAAGAAAAAACACAGGAGACAAAGACAAAGAATTATCAAACTATGTTCAATGTAAATCCATTACCAAAAATATCCACTGGCTATTATCACAGTGTTTGATCTCTACCGTACAATAATGGTGCCAAAATTATTGGATGTAACACCACTGGCGATAATTTGACGCTTTCCTCCAGTGCCATGTGTGACGCCATGCACCATGCAGTCCTGGTGCCATTCGCCATTGGGAAAAAAAGAAGGGGCGTATTCGACCGTTCTGCCAGACATGTACTGCGCCTTGAAGAGCTGGTCTTCAGTGAATTCAAATACAGAGGATTGGATAAGGTAGTTGGGGGAAACTTTGAAACTTTAAGTATCTGAGTTTAGGAGAAGTTACTCGAAAATTGTGAATGTGTATTCATCGTAATTAGTCTGTGTAAACAGGACAACTATTAAAACTAACTTACCATGTTCACAGCACGTTTGCCTGAGCTCTAATGAACATAACATAAGCCCTTCAAGAACTGTCCTTACCAATCGGGTCAGAATTTACTATTGACTCGACTCCCCTGTGCTGGCTTGGAATGAAAACAGAAAATTCAAATATTTATACACCGATACTAGCATGTTGCATAACACTGTGCAAAGGTCGTTAAAAAATCTGTTCGGTCGTTAAGTTGTGGAGACTAAGCTTTCATTTCAGAAACTTTATGTGCAGCCGATGGTTGGAGGGTATTCAACTTTTTCTCCGTAGGCAGGTGAAACCAGTAATCTGATTCAGTGACTCACAGGTGAGAAAAGTTGTACAAGACAGGTGCTGGGATCGACTATTACCCTTAAACATTTCCAAACCATGAATTAGCAAAGATGAATGTTCAAAACTCTATAAACCACTCAGTAAAAACTAACCTAAGAAAAAATATTTAAAAAAAGAAATACAAAAACAGGACAAAGAAATTACGTTTGTGAGATTCCTGATATAGGGATCATGTTACATCAAGTTACAAGTCTAGTTATATCACCTAGACAACAGCGATGGCACGAAAAATACATTTCTGCCATTATGATATAGTTTTCCATAGATCAAAGTTATCACGACAGTAGTCACCTTATAACTTATCCAGTCATGCATTCACATTTTCTTCGTGAGTAGGCCTACTAAATTATTCATAAATGGCATTTTCGAGTTATAGCTGTTTGATTCCATGTTTTCAAAGACACAAACTATGTTTTTCGCAAAGTTTATATGACGACTATATCTCAGAAGCTTATTTAAATATTTTGAGTCTTTATTGTTCACCAAAACCTGGCCAACCCATTTTCACCAACCGCAGTCCCTGTTATACTTTACAGCTCTCGTCTGTTTAACTGTACGCAACGTACTGCATGGACTTCCGTCGGGATTTCTTTGAACGCTGGAATTTGCTTGCTTTATGATGCAAATTATCATCGAGGAGAGAAAGCTCGAAGCATTAAAAGAACACATGTGACAACCAAAGACTTTAATGAGCGGAATTCCTACGAACGAGGGTCTGTGTCTATGTAACTATGGAGGAACAAATACCAACCTTTACAGTATCCCCCCCCCGAAAAGGTTTGACCCCCGATGCACAAACCTAATGACGCTGGTTTAAAAACATTCGAAGTATTTTCTAAGAAAAGGTTTGAATATTTTCCTTCGTATATCTAAGTGAGCGTTTTTAGACTTTGTGGCAGTTAATTTCTCACTATACGGAGAAACTAGTGATGTCCATGTATGGAATTTGCCCTTAAGGTTTTTTCGTTCTGTGCAGTCAATAAGTCTAACGTTAGTCATGAACTTTAAAGTTAAATTGTCAAGAACGTCAGCCAGCGAAGGCTAAGAGCAAATGGCGCCCGAATTTTGAGAGGGAGTACGGCAACCACAACAGCGTTAGTGACAGCTTCCATATTTTAGCTAAAGACTAAAAATCTCGAAACAAATTATGATAACATATAAAACATCTAGTCTATCTTACCTCGGTTCTTTGGTCTTCATAGCTTATTATGCCCTGTACGTGCTGTTAATGGGAAAACTGAGAGCGACATTGGTCTGCCCAGCCAAGCGTGGCGTTTACAGGGATTTGTCCAAATGACACAAAGAGGCACGTGTATCATGCGTGAACGTCAAGAACCAGTGATAATGAGACATGATAGTACCAGACTACTGTCCAAAGATCGTATAGCGCCAGCGCTATACGATCTTTGCTATTGTCTACCAACAGTTTGACATAAAAACCACTCTTTTGATTGGTCTGTAAAACCTTTATGTGTATGTACATCTGTTGATGCAACAATCGAATTTTAATATTGTGCTCACAACATTCGATATTTGTGAGCGTTGAGCAGCGAAATTTAATCCGGGTCGGGCATAATGAATCCCGAAGTGGGCCTTACGTGATACGCATGACTAAATAGTATAAATATTCATGAGGTTGTTTCAGAATGGAAGACCGCGTTCGATCCGGCAAAGACAACAGCGTCCCACCCTCATAATATGCCAAAATGTATTACTTTCTAACCCTTTTTTGCGACTAAATTCTTTAAGATAGTATTGATTGAAGGCAGCCGATCTAGTAAACAACCTTCCAGCTTGCTCCTTATTTTGTTTTTGCCATTTTAAATGCTGACGATCATGTGATGACAGGACCATTTTCGATGGATGACGATGACACAGCAAGAATTCGAATCCAATACATAATTGGTAGGCCTATAGGAAGAAGGTGGATGTTTCTTTTTCAGCAACACACACACAAGGCTAAATCTGTTTCACAAGTAATTTTATTTTGTTCTCGAGATATTACATGATTACTACTAACCCTTACGAACGTAAAGTTCTTTTGAAGTCGATTTGTTCTTAAGAATAATGTGACTTGATTGCTCTTGGGAATTCAAATCTACTTTTTGATCTATGGCAATTATGGAAAATACGACGCTGTGTAATTTTGTTCACAATTAAAATGAAGAAGCGAAGGATATAGCTACAAATTGGACTATGAAGGATTTTGTTTCTTAACTTTTCGACGTACCGTTCGATGCGACACTCGAACGAAAGAGTTGTGTAATGTGATCTGACTGGCAACCATGGTCAGCGTTTAAAATCGAGTGGTCAAAACGATCTGTCTCCTTTGGTATTCGTAGTCTGAGTGGTTGCCTTGATTTCATCGATTAAAATGATCGACACTTTACTAATCGATTAATCAACATCGACAGATTTAGGATTCGACATGTCCCTGAAAACAGAATAATATTGGTAGGCCTACTGCATGATGTTCTTCACGACACTTTGGATTCTATAATGTCCAAAAACTGATCACGTTTGACGTGTTCTTAGTTTAAATACTTCGAAACCTGCAACCAAAATCCTCTTTCTCTGGGTTCAGCCTGAGATTAATGAATAAATCAAGTCTTTTTGACACAAAGACGCACCTCTGGTACAAATATAAGCAGATCTTTACTGAATGAGCTGTGAGTTTTCAAAATGCTGATCATTGCTAAAAAGAAATGTTCTAGATTAAAAACGGTAATATTCTATTATCAAAACACCCAACATTCCCTGCACTTCGTTTAATATACTTTTACACTACAATGAAATGGTTTACTGAATACTGGATGTCAGTTTCTACAGGAATCGATATTGGGAACACTGTATAGGGAGGCAAGCTCCCTGCATGAACATGTGAAGAGTGATCTTAGTACTCTTCAACATCTTCGTCATCTTCTCCGTCACCCGAGTCGACGCCAACCTCCTCGTAATCCTTCTCCAAGGCTGCCAGATCTTCACGAGCCTCAGAGAACTCGCCCTCCTCCATACCCTCTCCCACGTACCAGTGGACGAAGGCACGCTTGGCGTACATCAGATCGAACTTGTGATCCAGACGAGCCCAAGCCTCAGCGATGGCCGTGGTGTTGCTCAGCATGCAGACGGCACGCTGCACCTTGGCAAGATCACCGCCAGGTACGACGGTGGGCGGCTGGTAGTTGATGCCCACCTTGAAGCCAGTTGGACACCAATCGACAAACTGGATTGAGCGCTTGGTCTTAATTTGTGCTATGGCTGCGTTGACATCCTTGGGGACGACATCACCTCGGAAGAGCAGACAGCAGGCCATGTACTTGCCGTGACGAGGATCGCACTTCACCATCTGGTTGGCCGGCTCAAAGCAGGAATTAGTGATCTCTGAAACAGTCAGCTGCTCATGGTAGGCCTTCTCGGCTGAAACGACAGGTGCGTAGGTTGCCAATGGGAAGTGGATACGTGGGTAGGGCACCAGGTTGGTCTGGAATTCGGTCAGGTCGACGTTCAGAGCGCCGTCAAAACGCAATGACGCAGTAATGGATGACACAATCTGAGCGATTAAACGGTTGAGGTTGGTGTAAGTCGGACGCTCAATGTCGAGGTTGCGTCGACAGATGTCGTAGATGGCCTCATTGTCGACCATGAAGGCACAGTCAGTGTGCTCTAAGGTAGTGTGGGTGGTCAGGATGGAGTTGTAGGGCTCTACTACGGCAGAGGCAATTTGGGGAGCCGGGTAGACTGCAAACTCCAGTTTGGACTTCTTGCCGTAGTCGACGGAGAGACGCTCCATCAACAGGGATGTGAAGCCAGAGCCGGTGCCTCCACCGAAGCTGTGAAAGACAAGAAAACCCTGTAGACCCGTGCACTGGTCAGCCTGTACATTTAAAGGTAAGAAGGTGCAAAATAGTCAAAGAGATAAAACCGATCGGATACAGAAAGAAACACAGGTGTGCTTGTAAACATGTAGTTGCAATAAACAGAAAAACAGCAGGAAATAAATTGGAGGGAATTTCCCTCACCAATTTGCGGATCCTGTCGAGTACCGTATCCACATGTTCCTTGCCAACGGTGTAGTGACCTCTGGCGTAGTTGTTGGCGGCATCTTCCTTGCCTGTGATCAGCTGCTCAGGGTGGAAAAGCTGGCGGTAGGCGCCGGTACGAACTTCATCTGTAATTAGGAAGGAAAACAACTACATGTATTTCGAAATAAACGTTACCTGGTATTCTGAACGGTGCTATTAAACCTAGGCACACATAGGTATTGAAGATATAGGTGATTATATTACCGACAACGGTAGGTTCGAGATCGACGAAGACAGCGCGAGGGACATGTTTGCCAGCACCGGTCTCGCTGAAGAAGGTATTGAAGGAGTCGTCACCACCTCCGATGGTCTTGTCACTGGGCATCTGACCATCAGGTTGGATGCCGTGCTCCAAGCAGTACAGCTCCCAGCAGGCGTTGCCAATCTGGACACCAGCTTGGCCGACGTGGATAGAGATACATTCACGCTACAGTAAAACCAAAGTGAAATCATCACCATCGATAAAACAAGAAATTCTAATACTGCATATAGGCCTATACACTGAAGTAATATCTTCTCTTCCAACTTCGAATGAACGATCTTCTCATGAGACTTATACCCAACGCCTTTACACAGGAAATGTCCTATAAACAGTAAATCATACTGTTTTCTGATTGGAACTTTCCTATTTCTAATTCTGCTTGCGATTAATATTCGAAATCTTGGAAAATTTTTATTTGGCACTGCATTTCCACTAGAAGAGGTACGATGTTTTGTTTTCAGGTGGCCATGTTTCCCCGGTAGGAAATGAGATTTAACCAGAGCGCAGGCCGCGTGACTCATCGGGCGGTCTCTGTGCCTCCCGGGCCCCTTGCTAAGACCAAGCCATGCGCGTTGAAGATACGGGGCGGTGTAATTCCTCGTTGGACCCGTATCCCTACGTAAGGCACCACGGAGGGTAATATTTTATGATGATACGGAAATGTAGTCTTGTTATTTACAGTGCACGGACAACAAACCAGCACAATACGGTCTTATTTCGTCATGTCGAGTTGTTTATGTAGGGCAAGCTATTAACGGGGAGATATGTGCGGGCATGACATCAAATCAACTTAATGCATCACTCAACGGTCATATTGATCACATCCTGGAATCGAAGAATATTGATATTGCAAGGAGGAGTCCTATGTTTTCACTTTAACTCGAAACTGCAGTACATGTACATCGGCTTAGAGTGGTTGCAGTGTTTATTTCTGTTTGGCGAAGCTATGGGATATCCTGCAAAATATTGAAAATCTAAATGTGCTATCCACTGCTTCCAAAAAATTCCAACCTTGTTAAAAACCCTTACATTCCTAATGAGTGGCATCTGCGTCTTTTACTGTCTCAAGATCTTGCTTATGATCTCCTCTACCCATCAAACCTATCGTTTTTTTTGTCCCAAAGACGCTCTCTGATTTCCTAGATACATTAAGCATGGTTCAGCCGAAAACTGTATTTGATTATGTAGTCAATTGACCAAACGCAATTTAGTGGAGTCGTACGAGCTTGAAGCGGGCCCAGTAAATTGCTCGAGATGACATTATGCCAAGGAGTAAAAGTTTAGGCCTAAGTGAATTACATCTCTTCGCTATCAGAAAGGCCGTTTGTTAAATCAAATTAGTCCTTGAACTCCATGCATTTTGCTTGTTTCGTTTAAACGATCGAATAATTTTTTGCAATCTAACTTCTCCCCTAACATAATGATCGTCAGTGCGTATACTAGGTTCACTGCGCAAAGAAACCGGCTGTTTGACACGAGGCCAATCCATACTTTTTAGGCAAAAACATCATACTGGGAAAAATTCGTTCATTTAGACCCACATACTGTAACTATTCTAATGAAAATATTTTCTAAAAATGTGTTGATAACGATGCAAGAACACAGGTGTAATGTCATGATTCCCTTTGCTTTCCGTCTCTCATTATTTACGGGGAATATCTTCGGCATACCGAGCAATATTTTTTGATGAAAGCCACTGTAAAATACATTGCCGAAGCAGAATTTCAATAATTCCTTTAATCACAAAGAAATACTGACACGGAAATTAAAGTCCGGCCGCGTTCAGTGATGTTGATAGAGCACCTTTTAATCAATAGCTGTGCGATCAAACAACGTTTACAAGTAAACTTAATAACTACATTCAGTCATATTCCAATTGTGGAAAAATTTAAGGAAAGACAAAAAAAAATTATTGTCTTTATTCCCAGATAATCAAGAAAGCTATCGTTATTATTCGGCTGAATTTCTCGTCCCTTTCCTAAGACACTTTTGAGTGCCCTCCCACCCTAATCTCAAGACTTCAAGAGAATAATTACTAGTTTTTGTTTTCTTGCTCTAACAAACTGGCTAAGAATAAACGGAACGTAACACAAAACATTTCAAATAAAAATGATTGGACCTTGAATTGCACTCGTAATAATATTGAGCTTACCATTTTGAACAGCAAATCAAGCCTTGAAGTCTCGAAGGTACAGGGGAAGAATGGAGACCTAGAACTCTGACAAGGATTTTGACGAAGGGAAATGTTTTTCTCCGAGATCTAAGCGTCTTAATCCAACTGTGATGGCTGGCTAGGACACTCTACAAACCTAACGGTTGCGACTCGCCAAGTGCCTCTCGTCAAGATGTTGCCGTCAATTTGCGCACAACCGGGCAGCCCCACGAAGGAGAGACCCTCCCTTGCATTAAATCGACACCCCTAATTGCAAAGGTATTTCGATTACTACGACGCTTGCGGGTAAATTTTGTCGTGTCACGGTTATAAGTGGTAGGCCACGCGGAAAACACACAATTTGGTATTCCCGAGGGAATTCTCATGGCTTGTTTCATTCATGACCTGCACTTTTACGACAGGGGATCCCATCTTTATTGTTTTACGAACATGGTTGCATTACACTTTTTTACAGCAAATGTTTTTAATGGGATTACCCTGGTGATAAGTAATGTAGCTTATGCGACTCCCATGATGTAATATTAATTTTCACTTATTATCATAATAAAATACATTTATATGCCTCAGAAACTTGTAACATAATGTAAGATGTGATATTGAGTTTTTCCTTGGATATAAGTGTTAGATACTCTTGGACTTTGGTGTCTAACCATGATTATTTATTCGCTGTTCATCAGGTCTTTGCAAAGAAGCGGCAGCAGACCTGGTTTTGTAACGTACACGTCACGGGGAAATCCACAGACTTCCTAACGACACGCCCACTTGGGGAAGGAAAATTTACGATGTACGGAATACATGTCATTTCGCCGAATAATGTGAATATTACATGGTATATAAAGACAGGTTCGACAAGAAACTGACTCTGGGCGCACAGGTGTCACTTTTCATGGAAGTGTTCATTTCTTGGAGCATTCCATTTCAGACCGGGGATTTCATTCTGCTTCATGAACGACAAGGCAAAATTCAGGCATGATAACTATCGGTTTATATATCAATATGGACCTGGGTTATATTCTCTCGCGACGTGGACGTGTTACGGTGGATCAACTTTATTCCCGACAACCACAGTAGAGTGTTACATGATGAAAATCTCCTGGTAAGGTGTGATTTTCAGGAGGCATATATGCCCCCCACAAGAGTAGAACATTCCAGCAAGGGTTATTGTGCTTATTTTTTTTTATTATCCCAAACTGGTTAGATACAGGTGTATCACCTATGTTACAAGAAGAGTGTTTACATTCTGAATGCCAGTTGTTAAAACTTGCGTCGAGGCTTGGGACAATAAATATCCCTTAACATGTCTGTGCCCAAGTAACATAATTTTATTTTTACAGTTCCCAAGGTTGCGGACATGGAGAATTATGCGTCCCCGGATGGTGTTTTATGGAACAATTATCGAGTCGAGGAGCACTTCCGACCATAATTTGCATAAAGGGGACAAAAATAAATGATATTCACCTGGCTTGAACTATGGCCAGTGACAACTGTTCGCTGGATCCAAATTACAGAACAAAGATACTGAAGTCTAAGACTCATTTCAAGTCCCTATTAACGAACATTGATTATCTTGAAACAAGTAACAGCGCTCTTTTAGGGTTAATTTACATTAAGAATATTTGACCTGATGAAAAGGGCATTCTTTGTACATGCTCCAGTTGTTTTTTTTTTAAAGAGCATGTTGTTATTCCTATAACAATTTCATTAATTCGTTAGTTGACTGAACCCAGCACCAACAAAAGGTGGCATATGCTGCGTATGCTTCTAATAATACTGGTATCGGAAACTACACCATAAAACAACTAAATTACGTACAACTCTCATAAAAATTATGCCTTTCTAAAAATAACCACATAAACCACGTTGAATAAATGTCTGTCACTCGTTAAAGTATTAATATAAAATAGACAAATTAAATACATTGCATCTTCTAAAACTACAGGACTTTGAAATGGTGGATGAATATTTTTAGAGAATTAAACCCGATCATTACTGTGCGGTCGGAGAACTGCCTATGTTATTGAAAATGCATTATCCTGCAAAGCTCTGCTCACAAATGGATTTTAAATGAGATATGGTGTTGAGGTCGAGCAAGGATAAAAATAACAACACACATGAGGGGCGCCCTCATTGCTCACACCGAAGGTTTTATTCTTCTTTTTAAATTTCAGAGGCTTGGAGTTGGCATGTGTCAACAGAGGGCGGTTACCGCCCATCCAGAGTTTTTGATTGTATTGGAATGCGAACACAGATTAAAGTGGGCGGTCTGTTATAGCGAGTCCACTTTGCTTGAAAAAAACATATAAAATTTACGCAGCGGTCTTCTCCTATTGCTCCAATTGTCATGGTTTTGGTTCGCAAGCAACCGTCATCACCGAAAATACTATATAATCACTCTGGTTTTAATCTTAAAGCATGCAGTTTTTCATACCAATCCTTGCTTCTCGTCACACATTCCACAACCTCTGGAGGCAAATCCGAGATTTTATACTCTTTCTTGTCGCTCACAAACCCCTTACTTTCCATTGCCTTGGTGTAGAACCCACCCCTTTCCTCTCCCCAGGTGAAGAACTTGGAACAGTGCCATCTCTGGTCCAATTCATCCTTGGAATGCCCAGAGGAGCCGAAAGACAGCATCTTATCTTTGAACGGGATGCCCACAGCTAGGCAGTACCGACGCAAGGTGGCCTCGGGGTGGTCCGTCAAATCATCGGCGTCGATTATTACCGGTGCCTGGTTCAACACAGTCCTCGTGTACTCCATCAGATCAAAGCTGGCCTTATAAACAGAGGTTTGGCTAGCGTAGCTTTCCAGATCACCAGGCAAATCACCTCCATTGCGGAGCTCTATCTTGTCACCCAGAAGTTGCCTAATTCGTCTATGGTACGCCACCCAAACTTTGACAGGATCCCGAACTATGAAGGTGTGCCGATATCCCTTAGGCAGCATGTCGTACTTGCCTTCCACGGCGTAAGCCATGTCTTTAGCGAACACTATGGACGCTTGGTAATGGTCTTCTCTCTCCAGCAACTTCTGGGTGTACTCGTAGGTCTGCCAGTCGTTAAGCAGTTCGGCAGACCGCATTTGGTCGGGCCAAGAGATGCGTCGTTCCGGTCCAAAACTGTGGCAGTTGTCGTAGGGTTCCATAAATATTTCGGTGTCGCCTCTCGCGTTCATACAGCGTGTGAACACGGTGGATAGGCACATGGGAACACCCCAAAGGATGATACGAGTTGTCATGGTAACTCCTGGTCACAAAAAAGTAGAGGATTAGAACATTACTTAATCAAACACAGCTTGCATAGTTTCGTCTTACAAACGGGGAACAAATGCCAACAATTTGTTATTCTGCTGAGGTTGAATCATAATGAGCAGTATGTGGACAGGTTGAGTTTTTATATCACGAAGACTGTACTCGACCTGTATCTTCCAATTTTGAGGTGGGATCAATTTATCAACCTCAAACTGAATAGCTGGACATTGTGTCCGCAGTTGTGATTTTAAGTTGATGGCCAATTACAAAATAAATAAATAAACCTCCCATTCAAATTGAAGACCACTTGTCCAAACTATAATTGCATCCGGTCATGGGAGAGCTTTATCTTGGATATCCCATCATAATTGTGTTGTTATTCCTGCCAATAATTATGACACAAGACTGACAGTTACTACAACAATACGCGAAGGTCGTGGTGGTTTGGTAAAGTCGTGAACTCAGGAATGCTCAAGGACAACTTGGCATAACTGATGCCGTGCCTACGACGGTTAGAGAGGGTAGGAAACTAACCAGGAATACTGGCAGTGCACAGCGCGGAAACTACAAGTCTATTATTTTCAGAGATCTTTTGTTCAACCGGCGTCAGAGTGCTTTGGATTGGTGGGACAGCGGTGAGAGCAGCGGAAAATTGCGTAATTCAGGCCCATCCCGAAGGAGGAGGGTGGGAAGCCAAAGGGCCAGACTCCATCCCCCCCCACGTGAGTAGCTGAGCCCCATCGGCATAAACCATAAGCATCAAAATGATCTATTGTTCTTATAATGTACCCCCAGCTGGTACTGTGCCACACCCTTATGTCTGACGCTATAGCGACGGGGCTAGCGTAATTACCGCACGACTGAAAGTTCAAGGTTATATTTTTTTATTTTCTATGGGAAACAATTAATCAATACTGCTGGGGTAAACAAATTAAATGAACGATCGATATCAACCGGTGACCTCTATATAGGCCTATGTACGGAAAACAAAACCAGGCTACTTCATCTTTTCATAATAACTCGACTCGGAAAATTTCAAACGATTTCTCAGTCGAATTCTATTTAGTTGTAATAATTTCATATTCACTTACATCCTCAGTTTGCGCATAATTTCGATTTACACTACTGAAAGGGAGTGAAAGTGTCACTAGTTTCAGCTTCAGAGGGGGTTTACAATAAGTTCATAAAGGGCCGAGGGCTGGGGGTTTGGGGGTCTAACAACCCCCCTCCCCCTCGCTCGCTTCTGAGGTTTCTTTTTAGAATTTATTTTCACATTATGACAGGCCTTTGTATAAAAATAGGTGTTCACAGTGCCAAATGTTCCACTCTTGGGTTTAACAACCCCCTCTCAGTCTCTGGTCAGGCAACGAGCCTGTCATGCCATCAAAGACAACTCGAAATCACAGTCTGAAAAATAAGAACCAGTAACTGTTGCAGCTGGAGACAAAGGGGAAAAGGTCTGAAGACGTGGATCCACTGGGGGAGGGGAGGGGGATTCTCAGAGGTGAGAGCGCAGAGGGTGTGGGGACGACATGAGGGAAAGGCCAATTACAGTATCCTGGATTTCAATACAAACCTTAATGTTTGGATGTTCCTTATTTGTGGGGGGGGGGAGCAATATAAGCTGAAGGCTGGGGAATAGATCGTCTCGTTGAGGGAGAACTAAACAAGACGGATATAGGATTAAGGATGGAGGGATTAATTTTGAGTAAATAAGTTCTAATTTACACCACTGTTCTCAAAATCATTTCAAACGATTGGACTTCCTACCTGAATGCGCACCATGCTGTGATCTATGTATAGCTCTGAGCTGGGCAGTAGAATGAATAACATCTTCATCGTCAATGTGAAGTAATTCAAGCCTAATGTGACAACTTACCCTTAAAGGACTATGTTGTGGCATGGACTGGAGAATCACCGCTTGTGGCTGCTTCAACGAACTTGCGTAGCCGGCAGTCGACAACAGAACACGAATCTACCCGTAGAGTTTCTACAGACCCACAGTTTACGTAGGAACGTTTGCCAACAGCTATGGTGCTTTGGTCTGAATTCGTCAATAATACACTGATCGTCATCGATCATTATGCGGAATTAATTTCCATTATCTTCACCGCTACTCGAACTTACTGTAGGCCTGTCTCTGATGCATGTGCACAACTTTTCCACAGCCCAAAGCAGGCGCGTACGCTAAGTCGGCCGTGCGGGTAATAGGACCTACTCAACCCTTCAATCAAACGGGATCAGAATATTTCAGTCACGCCCCAGGGCAAGAACCCGTCAGTTGCCGCCAATAGGATCATCAAACATCCACTAATCGTTCTTTCATTGGCGAGTTGTGCGTACCAGAACTGAATATGTAAATGACAATAGTCCTATATAATGTCAAACTTTATCCCGTTTAAGAATTTAAAGACTTTAAAGGTCAAAAACTTTTTTCTTATACATATTATGAAAACTGCCCGCCATCCTGTGCTGGTGAATACGATTTGAAAAGAACACCTTTTAAACATGTAAAAATGTTCTGCGTTTCTCCTGAAATGACAGGGCTGTTGTTCTAATGTCATTTCAAGGAAACTCTGTTCATTTTAGGGCATGTGGACCAAAATGGGCTTTTTGTAATTACTCCTGAGAAAATGCTTGCCTGTCCTCCGTCGCTAAAACAATAAATCGGCAAAGAAAAAGGAGTAACCTGTCCACAACAGTGTGAATCATATCACACTTTTGCTCATAAATAATACAATTTTTAGTGTAGAAATAACAAGAAACCGAACTGCCCTTAAAATGGCCGTAGAATCATTCAAATTTAGTTATAAATTGGCTCTCAGCTTAAGTAATGAGTTTTGCTGTGCGCACTGACCTTTACTTAATAAAAAATGACAAGAACACTGCAATTTTCAATCACGATAATTACCACTATCTGCCAGGAATTCTGTTGACTTCCCACACGCCCCCACGAACACACGTTTTGACCTTCCTCACAACTGTTAGCTCAAACCTAACCTCCGGCAGGATTAGAATTTCCCTAATGCCTAAGTGTTTCCTCGCCTAATTTATGACATTGGCTTGCATTTGGTGACACTTAAAATATGAGAAAATACAGGGGGGAAGGGGGTTGGTTGGACGAACCTCAAAGGCAAAACACAGCCAACACCTCAAAGGTTCCAAACGCACTCCAAACCCTATTGTGTCAATTCTATTCAGCGCTTCGACTTGGTTTGCAAATGTCTGTAAAAGATATCGATAGCCCACGGAACTACTGTAAAGCAAATGCCGAGTTCGCGTTCGTTATTTAGGCAACACAATTGGTCTCTGAAGACCATTATTCATTTCAAATACGTTGTGGGTTTTTTTTCCACTTGGACATACAAATATTAGGCCACAAGAACCAAGACAACAGAACGAACTCTGCCATGTCGGCCAAGTTGTGGGTTTTCATTTATCTCTTCACTTTTAAAGAGAAATTGTGTCCTAGAAAACCCAGGTTTACGAAATGATTAATGAGACAAAGATACAGTGAAAAGAAATATTTATGGGTTCTCAAAAAGAAATGATGTCTTTTGAAAAAACTAATACATAGAGCTGGCATAGACTAAGACCTTAATCCATCTTTGTTTCCGAGTGACAACTTTCAAATACACTTGTACAATGAAATCTTATGTGGCTCACCGAATGAATACTTGTCGTCAAAGTTACCGCATGTCAGCGTCATGATTTTTCTTGGCAAGGTTTGCATACTGAAAGAAATTCAGTAAGATGAAAAACGCAAACTTATTCGTGGTTTGATTTATACTGAAATTCCCGAGCCAATAGAATGCAACCTAACCGTTATCGACGATCCCACTTTTTACAACAATAAATGACGTTTCAGGTCCAGGTGGTGTCGATATTGTATCAAAATGAGACCAGGTGAAAGTGCGAAATACGATTTATGCTTAAAATCGCCATGTACCTTTCCTGCACCAGCCCAAACAGGAAACCAAACCGGGTAAAACGCTTACACCCAGTAACTACCCTTCCATTGCGACATAAAGTGCTTCCAAGGTGTCGATTCTGTGTTGGTCTGACTTTTACAGTGCCGCCACAGAGTCGATATTCGTCAGGCATTTTCAAAAACAAAACAAAACAAACATTTGTTTACCATAAACAGTTTTGTGAATTCCATATAATTTCTCAAGACTATGAAAATCACCAATGTCTTTGTAAAGTCCAAGTTAGTGAATAACAACATATACTGGAATTCATCCTTCGGAACTTTTACAATTGGAACGAATTGAAGTTATCTACAAATATGAGACAAAAGGTTGAAAAAATGCTTCAATTTGAACTTTAAAACCTTCAAAGCTGCAATGGTGCACGAAATAAACTGTGAATCTTTAGATGTTAAAGGGTTAATTATTGTATGGAATTGGATGTATGGAATTTATTGTATGGAATTGCTCCTGGCGTAACGTAACGATTCTGCGAGCATTGCTCACTGACTCCCAGGTATAAAAGCTGACAACCTCGGGCATTTCCCAGCGATATCAACGCCGAAAGAAACAAGAGGTAAGAAAACTTCACACATTTCGGCCACTAAAAGGACACTAGGGGCTCTCATAAAGAAATGCTAATTTAAAATTTAAAAGAGTGAACTTGTCTTAATCAGCTTTCAAGACACACAGAAGACCAGATTGTGACCGCTCTTGAACGGTCATTATCCACAAACGAAGCTATTCTAAAGGCTGCAAGAACACGTCAAAGTTGCAAGGAGAGGAAAGTCGGCAGTAATAAAATAATTGTAACCAAGGACTGGGCTATAAAGAATCCTTTTCCAGCTCACATTCATTAACATCACCATGACAATGAAGAAAATACTCCCAGGGACCTTACGGATCATCGATTGAAGTTTCCTTGATTTTTTATGACATAATAGGAGGCGATTCTGAATGCAGTCGCTTTCAAGCCGAAGTGAACAAAATGGCTCCCACTAAGACTCCCCCGCATGCGGGGGACGACAGAAACAAAAGGACAGAAACAGACACAAAATATTGTAAACTCAGACAGATGTGTTTATAATCTATTTAATGATTATAAAAAGCTCAGGGTGATCATTAGTATCAAATCAACGATGCCAATATTGGAGGAGTTTTTCCCCTCAAACAGCGCTGCTTTTGTCTACTTCATCTGCGGGGACTTTAATGAATAGATCAATACAGAAAGGGGAAGTTGAAGTACCTCCGTCCACTCTCCAAATTGACCGTGCTGTCGTGGAAACATTATCAGTACTTAATTGCTGAAACTGAAAACGTCGGGAAAATACGCTATCAGCCTAGGGTCGGTGCTTGAAAGGTTTTCCCGGGGAGTCAAATCATATCCCCAGCCGACTCTCTTTGTGAAGATGATGACTTTGACAATAGAATGATTTTGATATTGTTTCTATTATTTTAGCTTCTCAATTAAAACAACGTGTAAATGGATATTCTTGATTCGTGAAAAAAACGCTCCCATTAGTTCAGCTTTGAATAAGAAAAAGTAATAATTTAAGTTAACTTGTCACACGTCAAGGTTTTTATCTATCTCTATAGTTCGCTATTTTTCTTTCACTGCTCACTTTTTTTTCACTGACATTTTAAAGAAATCGTCGTAAAGACATATCCTTTTGCTCGAATTTCAAGCTAGTGACGAGTGGAGGTCTTGTTGTTTGCCACAATTGTTGCCAATACATTCCTAAACAAATAACACAAAGTTTAAATAGAAATCAGTCTTGATCAAGCGATCCTGACTACAAAAGAGATCAGGGTTCGTGCCAAGTTTCATGTTGAGACGTGACACCGTCTCGAAAAAAGGCTAAGGAGAATTAACATACAGAAAAAATAGACGAAAGGCGCCAAGACACGTTTTGGAAGCGCCAGGAGTGAAACACGGCAAACGATGTGGATAGAGAACGGACCAAAAGACGTGCAAGGGGCTAAAGGAGAGAGAGCGTATAGTGCAATTCGGCAACCGGACGTTGGTACAATGTTCGTGGACAGGTGGCACGTGCGCGTTAAATGGCATCCCAACCAATAGGGTGCCGTGATTTGCCTAACGCACGCGCGCGTCAAGCTGAAGAATGTGCGTGCGAGTGCAGTGCATTATAACTCTATGGTGTCACCGCATTCATGGCGTCTCCTTCGATTAAACAAAACAAGTACGTGATTCAGGCTTGCTCCCGGGCAACTAATTACTGTGCCTACTTGCCATCGGAATCATTGCCTGCGCTGCAAACTTCTTTTAATACCCGCCAGGTGGTAGGGTGACGTGACCGATGAGACGATAACATTAACCGATTAATCCCGGGTGTTGTCGTACCGGCGTCGTATTGGAGGAGGGTCACTGCATTGGCCGTCCCCGTCACCCGACCAAAACTAACGTTACCCTTCCCGTAAGACACCCAGAATTGGCGATACATTGCGGAGTCCAGGATGTCCGGAGTTGGCGAGCTGACCAAGACGGTACCAGGGGAATCTTCAATTAGATCGGTCTGGCTGTTTGCGTTTGAACCAATGACTAGTAGCAAAAGAAACAACATATTCATATTTGTAACCCAATATTAAACCAAGATATTATTTTTTATTCACATAATGACCATTTTTCTACGGGGATGCCAAAGTGAGTATAAAAACATCAGATCAAAGAACTCATTTTTCTCCTTTTCCAGCTAAAAGACAAAAATCCTGAAAAAAAAATAGTTTACTTGTGAGATCCGGTCGATTTCATCATGGGTTTTTACAAACCTCGGGATTCTTCAGTTGGAGGTTGATAGAACCGGGGGTAGAGAGTGGATGAGAGAGCAGCATGAAACTTACCAATGGTGTATACGATATTGAGATCTTCCTGGTCAACTATCTCACGGCAAAGATGTATAGCAGCTCCGGCTGACGTCTTGACTGAGAAGTCAAACCAAACCGAATCCAGCGGGAACACCTCACTCAGCGACACACTGTCGTCCTCTTCCAAGTCATGGGTCTGACAGACTGCGGAATGAAATACTTAGGAAGTCACACTCTGAAAGTGACATGGCGACGCTGAACGCAATATCGCCGCATCAGGATTTTCGCACAGAAAAGCGTTATCTATTACACGTCAAATTGAAATCGACGAGACAAAACACAATCCAAAGCTTTGACCATTTGAGGGAGGGACGTCTTTTATCCTTAACCAACAAAAATAACAAACAAAGTAAACCTAAACAAAATACTAATTTTAGATCTAGAAATAAGTAAATCCTGCTTACCTTGCAGGTCAACAGTACGGGGCGTAATTGCTATGATGGCAGTTTCCTTGAGTAGGTGAGTTGTCGAATTGGCTTGTATGCATTTGATCTGGGCCTTAAGAACAAAAATACATGTACTGTTAACTGGAATTCGACCACCAGAATTAGAAACCATACTGAGGCAGGACAACGCTCCTGGACAGGTGGTATGCGCGCGTTACATGCCTCTTCGACCAATAGGGTGTCGTGATTTGCCAAATGTACGCGCGCGTCAAGCTGAAGAATGTACGTGTGAGTGGGGTGCCACCGCGGTTATGGCGTCTTATCGGATTAGTCTATACTGAAGTACATGTATGTAGTGCAATTCGAACTACTGAAGATTGAAAAATGTCTTCAAACGGTGTTTTGTACAGTTTGCTCTTGTAAAACCGTATACTTAAAGCTTGTCAAAGATGCGAGATGATTACCTGTGGATTATAACTGTAATGTGTAGCTCCGGTAAGAGCACTCCAATCCTGAGGAAAATCTTCCTTCGTCACAGAGTGTAGGGCGCACTGCTTCTCCCGATGCAAGAAGCTGAATGATCGGCATTGGGGTTCCGTGTGGCACAGGACAGAACACCAAGGAGCCGACAACTGCGCGGACTCCCACAACGTGTGGCCTGTTAAAAAGTGATCCAACTCGGCGGTAAATCCTCCTGGTGACACGCTCCGAACAGGCCAACACCGTGCGTTAGAACAGGGACAGGATTGGGTTAAACCGACCAGTAATCTCGTTAGAAAGACGATAAGGCATCCAGTCTTCACCGTTGTCTTCATCTCTATAGGCCTACTTGTTGCGCGTATCGTCTCGAGGGATAAGGCGCCAAGTAACAAACAACGACATTTATACCCGTGTTGCCGGAAATGTCTTAGGGCGTACGTGATACCGCCCACTGAAGGTTTTACATCGAACGTCTGTCTACAGCGGACGATGACTGACACATCAATAAACTTGAAAAATGAATGTCACTAATTCAACTCAAGAGCGCGACACGAGAGACCTTTGGGGACAAAAGGTCGACATTTAGTGTCAAGGAAATAAGGCCCAAATTTCGATCCTATTATTCTGTACAAAAGTTTCTTAGAACAACTGTTCAAATAAAAATAACTACACACGATGAAATATTCTTCATACCGGTGAGGACTCTAAACACTTCCCCACGTTTTCTTTTCCATTTTTTCCCTTTTATGCCCTGAAAACTAATTTTCATCCAACCTTAGTTTTTAACGAAAACGTATGCCGTGAATGACTGATCGATACGTTAATTAAAAATCACCAACGAACACACTGACATTTTTCTTTTCGCTGAAGTAGTCTGTTCAGCGATCTAAGGTCAATTTACGAGCTTGCAAGCAGAATTGTGTATGAATAGACACGGTCAAATCACTTTAGTTAATTAATAGAAAAAAACGAAAACACAAGACTTGGTTAATGAAATGTTTCGCCAAACAAAAGACCGCGCAAAGACCTGAATGATCAAAGCCAGTAAAAAGCATAGAGCTATAGTGTAATTTCACCTCCAGAATTAGAAGCCATTACTGCAGTGGCACAACGCTCGTGGACAAGTGGTACGCGCGCCTTACATTCCACTTCGACCAATAGGATGTCATGATTTGCCAAATGCACGCGCGCGTCAAGCTGAAGAATGTGCGTGTGAGTGCGGTGCCACCGCAGCTAGGTGAAAAGGTACAAAACTTTGTCACATTCTAAATAAAATATCGCCGTCAATCCATGGCAAATTTTTCTTCCTTGAACGTTGACGATTCGTCTCGAGTTCATCTGTGACTTTTAACTTTCCTTGTGTCCAATTTCTTGCACCCAGACACGTGAACGAGAAAGCATTTTAAAAAACGTAACCACCTTATTAGCGGCGTTTGGGTGACGTCACACGGAAACACTCGATAGGTTCTGTATAATCACCACACAGCATTCCTCAGCAGCCACTCATATTAATAAGACCACGCGACGGAATCCAGAGTCTAATTTTCTTGACAATGTTTTAATAGAAAACTACAGTCGTCAATAACGGACCTCTACTCTGGATGAATTCCTCCATTATGGCGGAATTCCTCTACAGCCAAAGGCGGAATTACCAACTGCATGTTCTTTCACAGATCACATTAAATCCATATAAGCTTGCTGAAGGCGAAACAAATTAGAGGCGATATCTACACACAATGTCAGGTTTTCGTGTCCAATAAATTCCAATGCATTATACTGTAAATTATGAATTATTCCGATAAATTCCAATGATATTTATCTGTTGAGCAGACGCGACTGTTCCCCAAGTGCTAAGCATGTTTAACAGTTAAGGAAAGCCGAGTGAAATATACCAGTAATCTGATGTACAAGTCACGCGAACATGTCACGTGACCTCAAGGAGAAGAGCCCATATGCAATTTAAAATAAAACAAAAGACGGAAGCACCAAAGGCAGCACGAACGACCGCACTAATTACATTTGACAGACTTCTTGATTCACATAATTATATATCTTTTAAACCAACAAATTCCACACGTAATATAACAAACGCAATCCTCCTTACCGGGGAGGGATTTCGCTGGTTCCGTTTCCAAAAGTACAATCCATTTTCAGGACGATACCATGACCTCTTGACGATGCACCAATCACTGTTTCGAATTTTACCACTAAATTTAAAAGATGCATTCCACGTGTATTTCAAAAGGACAACGAAGCCAAGTTTTCATTTCAACATTCGTTATGTGAAAAACCCCATTTAAATTCACAAAGGTACCACGCCTGCAGGTTTAGACTGTTACCAAACCTTCAATTTCGGAGCAAAAACCGCTTTTGTTGCAGATTTTTGGTTCCAGGTTGATGTTCATGAAACCACCAAGAACTAAGAGTCTGTATGTGCATGATGCCAATGTGCAAGGTTACCTGCTCAAAGAGCCTGGTTGACATCCGTGGCTACTGGACACATGAATCTATAAGTTAAATTCAGCAATCAGAACTGAATGTCATTAGCAAGGTTATTAGTGCAGTAGTGCCAATCTGGTCGCCAAATCGTACGCGCGCGTTACACGCCTCTTCGACAAATAGGATGCTTTGACTAGCCAAAATGCACGCGCGCGTTAATGTGAAGAATGCGCGCGAGTACCGTGCCACCGGAACCGCAGTAATAAAGTCACCTCGAATAAGTCAAGAGGAAATTTGCTAATGTTAGTACATGTTACCAGAAAATTGGCATCTGCTATTCGACATTTGGCCAACTGACCATCTCGTAAGAAGGTGAAACTTCCCGAAATAAAATGCCCAAATTAAACACTTTGAGGTTAGTTCGACACTAACCTTTTGGAAATTCAAACAGAAATAACCAGCAGTGCAATACAAAACTTTTGTTAGTTCTCAAGAAAGTTCTTAGTTCTTAAAAAAGGTTCCCTCAACAACGGGTGACATCGTATACAAAAGGTTCAAGATCAGAACGTCACTTTATATGTACCAAAACACCTACCCTGGCAATAGACAGGAGAATCTAAGTACAGAGGTTGAAAAACTACTACCGACCCTAAAATGTCTTGAACAGATATAAACCTATTAACTGACAGTCTTCAAGAACAGTTAACGGCCGAAGTAACTTTTTATTATAAATCTCATTAACTGATCACTGAATAAGTCAAAATCTTCTTCTTTTTGGTTCAAGGGCATTCTCTACCAAGACGAGAATATCAGACTGAAATGTGGGAGTATTCAAATTGGTATCTTCGGGAAATATCATTCCATGCAAAACATGCATCTTTCAAACTTGGAGAAAAAAATTATGAGAAAGATAACCAACGGCAAAAAAAAATTAATTTGAGGATTAAAATTATTACTAAGTATCTGCTTGTTAATTCAAACTAAAAACCAACCACAATTTAATATAAGAATTCAAAGGTCGACATCCTGGTTCTTTCAATATCCTGACGTATTCAATATAATAGATCAAATAATAAATCATAATAGCAATATACACGTGCATGTATATTCCAACACCTCCTACTCCTGATAACCTACTACTCTGTATAATACATGAACACTATTAATAAAATATCGCTAAAGATTTTTCGCATCATTGACAATGAACTCAATGATGTTGACCTGTACCAAAAAAATCAAATTTCAAATCATATGCCCCTTTCGCATTTGGCTTAGACTATAAATTAGCTCATTTGCTGACAAAGAAACCTGCCCATATTAATCGCCATTAACTAACCCAAGGTAATGCTACTGAGAAAGGACAAGTGAACAACACTGAAGGTACAAAAAACCTTCAAAATGGTGAAACATTAAACTGTAGAAAAGTTAATTTGGATATCAACTGCTACAAAATTCACCTTGACATTTACATTCATAAAATCAAAGCAAAAAAGACATGCACACTCAACGGCTTATCCTATACAAAATGTTACAGGTCGATAAAGATACAGTCTGTCATATGGAAATACTAATCAATGACTAAGTCTTTAGTAAACGGCCACTTGTAAATAATTTATGATACAAAACATATTCTGAAGAAAAGCAAAAGTAAAAATCAGCACTCCTAAGATTTATGTACCTGTATTTGGGATTTAGTAATATCTATTTACTTTTATACTGAGTGGAGTAGAGGACCAATTGAGGGTTACCAACTAAAATTTCATGTAATGTATCTTCCTCTTTCACTGGTCCCCAGCCTATGCTTGCTTAGCAAAGGTACGTTTGCTTTGCTTGGGACAAAAGAAATATGGATCTGTAACCAAGTGTTGCTGAACAAGAACAAATGAACGCTGTGAAGTCATTTTATAGTGTCACGGAATGGCTTCCATATCGGGAAAAGCTTTCTGTAATGGAGACCTCGTGAGGTCAAACTAGCAATTCACACATACATTAAACCCATGTGCATATGCTGGGACTTGCTTTGTCAGGGGAGAGCAGGTGTATATCAGTGGTCAGCCACCAGCAAGCCATAAGTCAGAGATATGTCTTCAACAATGCTGTAGTCGAAACCAATAAGACTGTCACAAGATTAGCACAAGACTGAATTTAAGTCACAAGCTATTCAAATGAACTGCAACAAAAGCATTCCTTTGTCATTGTTCACCCTGTTACTTATGACTGGTCTTATGCTTGGTGTTGTGACTGGTCTTGTGACTGGTCTTGTGCATGGTCTTGTGACTGGTCTTGTGCATGGTCTTGTGACTGGTCTTGTGCATGGCCCAGAGCAAGGTCTCGATTATAACATTGGTCCTCATATATCACTGGGTCCCTAGAGGCAAAATTCAGCTTGACATGTTCTGCTGAATGTCCCAATGCATTCACTTGACCACTAATATTTGAAGATTCACAATACAGCCAGTTGTCACAGGTACAAAAAAATGAAAGACAACTTTGTGCAAATTTTACAAAGGAATTCTTGGATTTGCAAACTGAACTAACATGCTAAGCCACACTGTACAGACAGCAAGAAAAACATCTATCATGCTACTGGTACATTTAGATATTTTTTACAAACTTTTCCTATTATGTAGAAAGATACTTTACACAATTTCTTAAATTCAGTCCCTTGTTATAGTAAGTTAGAAAAGCTAGATCTGTTTAAATTTCTTATACATTTTTGTTTACACTTTGTATAAATATTAAAATTTGCAAGCAACCCAGAAAAAAACAAGATGTGTTTCTCAATGGAAACACATGTATTGTTTCCATGGGAAAAAAAATTAACTGAAGTTGATCCCCAACACTGAAATTCTGACGTTAGTGGACATAATTCTTTTTCAGTTCTTGATTCACTGTCGCAGGATAACAAACATTGGAATTTGTGCTTAGGAGAACCTAAGCTAGGTTTCTGGGAAGCGTTCACTAGAAAACTTTATGAGGTGACCTCAGAGGATGGAGAGAAAGACAAACCGGAGTGATTTCACAGCTGAACGCAACGGTGATTACTTTTCAGAAATGTTTGTGCTCCATTGACGGCATTGCTTCAGAGACTACGGACTTTGCTTTCTGCGGCTACAGACTGCAAGATGACTGGATTAAAACATGGATCCTTTTTGCCAACATGTAAGAACAGTGACTGGGAAATTGGATACAAACATTGCTTCTGGGTCAAGCTTCAAGTAACCTTGAGTAGATCAGAGATGTCTTCAATCTCTTTAAATGTGCCACTTTCACGAGTACCTCTGGACAAAGTTTCTAATCTCTTCTTGACCATTTAAATTGAAAGAATTTCCAAAGGCATTTCCCTAAATTGAACAGGCAAAATTCCCGATGAAAAATAAAATGTCATAAGATTTGAGTTTTCCAACACCAAGAGATGCAGCTTCCCCAAGCATCTTGTTAAGGAGTACAACATTTGTCACACCAACCCAGAATAGATCAAGTACAATGTGAGAGACAGAATAAGTGAAACTCTACAAATTTGATTCATGTCCCCACTATTCTTTTTTACAGTTTTAACACGCCCTCATCTCAGCTTCTGTCCACTCTCAGACTAAGTCTTCCTCGCTTTGCCCTGAGACTGAGAGACAAATGCTCCAAAATGTACACAACAGCTGGAAAAATAGACTACAAACAGTCTTTCAAAGGTAACAAGAACTAATTGGAGTATGAGGCCTTATCAACCTGCTGTCTAGTAACACCTGTTAAAAGTGGATGGGTTGTCATGTCAGATGCATCTCTTCTTTGCAATGTTAGCTCCAACTGAGTTTTTCCACATTTGGTTCTTGTCAAAGTTGTCAATCCATGCAACAAGAACCCTTTTTGAACCAATGAGTTTAATTTTGCTTGTGTGAATGAGGTTCAATCTTGGGATTTCAAGAGCTATTAGGGGCAAATTTCATTATGCTGCTGAACAGTTAGCAAAGAATTGTACTACCCTTTAACACCATTTAACGTATTGGTGTGCTCGCGCTTTGGGGCACGTGGATATTTCACAACTTTAAATTCCACCTGTGAATCTACACATGTAGCATACTCTTTATTGCCAATCCACCTTGAACAAAAGCACCCCCTCATTGGTTGAAAAGAGCCATGTTGGTCAGGAGTGTGCATTTTGTTGGTAGTTATGTAACTTGTGCATTTCATAATTGTTTATGAACCAATGAAGTGCAGTTGCTACCAAAGAAGTCTGCGTTGCTAGGAAAATGGTGCCCTCTCTTGGTCAAGCTGGAGGCTCATACTACATATGGTTTATGCAGAACGGACAAAATGACATTGATCATAGGTTTTGAACAGTTTGATAAGGCCTTAAAATTGTGTCTAAAATGGCCTCCAAATTAATACATGTTAATATTGGACCCACTTGGCTTGGGAGGTTTCTCTTTTGGGTCAACAGCTTTTTATTTAATCGTCCCATTCTTCATCGTCATCCTCATCTTCGTCGTCGTCTGATTCCGTGTCGCTGAGCTCCACGGCGATTCGTCGGGCCAAAATGGCCTCCACAGAATTGGGAACTGGAGTCTGGTGCCGGGCTCTCTCCTCTTGAATCTCAACCTTTCGTAGGTTGATACCTGGAGGCAGAACACAGACTTCTATCAGTTTGGGAAAATTAAGCAGCAGTTACCGACAAAGTCAGTGTAGGGTTAAAAATCTTGTGATACGGACTTGATCCCATGCTTTACACTAGTTTAATTTGAAACTGTCTTGCTCAAACAGAAACTAATTCACTTCTTCACCGTTTCCTTTCTATTTTTTCCAAGCTTGTAAGCTACAGTACCAAGGACGCTTTAGAAGAGGACTCCTTGGTGTCATTATGAGAGATAAATAATAGTGAAGAAACGAGAATTGGTCTACGATATGGACTGGCCGATAGGCCAGCAAAGAACCAGGTTTCTAGACAACAAATACCTCGTTGTATAGCTGTCAAGAGATTGTTTCTGCTGTCATCTACTTTTGGCCCTGGTCTCATCGATGTTCTTCTAGGGGAGGTTGGGTTGCCTGGGCTTGATGTTTCCGGTACCTCGCCACCTTGAGGTGGAGAGGGTGGCGAGATGGAAGTAGGGGCAGGAGCTGGTCCCTTGGGTGGTGGAGGAATGGCCATACCAGGAGCTACTGGAAGTGGAGGAGGTGGTGGGGGAGGGGGCGGGGCTGGAATATTGGAGTTCATAATGGGCTGGGGTGGGGGCAGGGCCGGCTCTGGTGGGGCGTGATTGGCGATGTTGTTCATCATGGGCATGCGGTTATCGATTGGCGGCGGGGGAGGAATGATGGTCTGGGAAGTATGCTGAGGGGCAAACTGTTGGTGCTGCTGGGGCGGTAGATGGTGGTTATGCTGCTGCTGTTGCTGTGGTGGTGGTGCTACAGGAGCAGGCCTCTTGGGAACGTGCACCGTCCCATTCACCACCGGTGGTGGTGGTGGTACCCCCTCAGGTGTGGTCTGATTGGATGGGGGTGGTGGGGGTCGGCTCTTGGGACGGAGTGAATCCCGTTGATTCCCTCCGCTACCAAATGAGGCCACGTCGTCGAAACCTTCCGAAGAAGATCGGGACATCATCCCTTGTTGTTTAACCTCCTGGTGTTGCAGCTGATGCGGAGGGGCAGGTTGTGGCTGCGACATCGGTGGCTGCTGCTGCTGATACTGGTCAATGTTTTGATTGGACCCTTTCGTCGAGCCCCAATCTGAGTTGGGTTGCTCCCTCGTCTCTGACGTCGGTGTAATGGAAGGCGTCTTGTCAGGCATAAACTCCTTTCCTCCCGCCATTGCTTGCCACTCCTTCTTCCGTGTCCGTACCTCGCTGGGCTTGCTACCCCCTGCCTTCGTCTTACGATCATGGCGTTTCTGTAATCAAGAGAAGGTTCATCACAGAAGTTAAAATGAGGTCGCAGACAAGATAAAGACAAAGAATTAACACAAGAATAACAAAAAAGACAAACATTCCTCCTCTAATTCCCAACACTATAAAGTAACACCAGCTAGTGTGTTCCACTTTGACAGAGCAGGTGTCCATGTACATCAAGTCCCATGTAAGTGATAGTTTTGGGACATCACGGTGCTTAATCCATTAAAGCCCAATAAAAGCTGGCCCAATTTCATAGCTCCACTAAGTCAAAAACTTTTACTAAATAACTGTACGCAGGATACAGTGGGGTACCAATCACAAAAGATGCACATCATGTGAAATTTGGGCCAGTAACCAACTTTTGCTGAAGAAGTGTTTTCTTTTTCAAATTAATACACTGAGAGGCTCCATGATATTTGCTCCAAGGGCTGGTTTTGGTGGACTTGGGAAGGTCAAAGAATCTTGGCATCTTACTCTCTTCCTGTTCTTCTTCTCTCTGATGTCTGTGATGTTTTTCTGCATCTCCTCACACCACAACTGGAAGAAATATTTGGGGTCTGTGTAGAACTTCAAGGCTTCTTTACCGTCCTCCCTGTAAACAGACAGACAGACAGTCAACTTCAGTGTTAGCTAAACAAACAAGACCACCTGCTACTGACCACTTGTACAAAGTCATCACATTTCCATGTGGTCAACACTCAATGGATCACCAATGTTCAGTGGTGACGTGTCTATTGTGGTCATCTACCTGCAGTGGCTCCCTCTCCCTTAGCCCAAGAATAAAATGACAACTGCTGTTTCAGAATTCCAAATATTCTTTAAAAAAACAGCTTCACTGTCATGGGAACAGACCTCCACAATGAATTCTACAGCTGTACTGTTGTTAGATTACACTGATTGTTAAGGCAATAGAAAAAGCTACAGAAGTATGGCCTGTTCAGAAAGATTAGATTATACTCTCAATGGGATAAATGAGCATGGTGTACCCCAAATATTTCAAGTTACACCTCCTTAACCCCAACCTTCCCCAACCACACAATAAAACAGTAGTAAAGTGTTTAATTCTGTGGGGATAGGTCTGGT